CATAACACATAACCGACCAATCAGCGACGTCAACATCAGTAAAACCACGTAGAGAGAACCCAACTTGACATAATCTTGACAGCTCTGTTCTCTTATTCAACCTTATTACTGTACAACCCATGTTGCACTGCTCCCCCATCTCCCCTATTATACTTATGTCTTTAAAATCCACTGTAATTTATGTATGTATGTATGTATGTATTTATGTATATATATATATATATATATATATATATATATATATATATATATATATATATATATATATATATATATATATATATATATATATATATATATATATATATATATATATATATATGTAACCGGTCGGAATTTACTGGACTTTATTTTCTCACTTGACTTGGGGTTTATTAAAGATTATAAGATGGTAATGGCAGTGGAAGCGCCCCTTGAGAAAAATCCCGAACCAGCACAAGAACACTTAAATCTACTAAACAAAATGAATTGTCCGTGACCCGTGGAAGGATAGCGTCTGTGACTGGGATGAATGAGACACAATGTAAAATTTTGACACTTATATTCCCTCCAACACTACAAACACAATCAAATAATGGCACACCAATATGCGCACCTCTTCACTTGAACTTAAAACACTACTCTGGGAAATAAAAGTTATACATGACATAGAAATTATTAGAAGCTCAGGCAACAATAAATTTGAAGTATTAAGAAATGTTGCTTGCACACATGAAACAGGCCTTAAGGGCTTTCACAAAATAATATCAGTCACTGAGGAAATGGTAATAAAAAATAAAAAATTAAATACTCTACAATGAATAGGCCTTAAGGGCACTCAACAAAATTATACCACCCCAACAGATGCACACTTCCTAACCTAACTTAACCACTACTCTGGGGAACAAGGTTATACCTGAGATCAGAATTATGAAGAAAAATTAGATGCATTAAAAGAATCAAATCACAGTATCACTCTAGTTCCACTTAATGACACAAACATTCAAAAACAATACTATCAAAATTATTTAGGAACTATTAAACTACACACGTCAAGATAATATCAGTCTGAGGAATGGTATTAACTACACCCGTAATAAGGGAGATAAAATGTTCCTCTAGGTATCTCCTAGAGTCCTAGACTCACGGTCTCAGTGTGTGACCATTAGTTTACTCAGATAGCCTCAGTGTACTCCCAGTGCGTCCATAAAGCGGAAGGGAGTGAGCCAATCAGACCTTGTACAGTTGAGAGAAGCTTTAGCTTCCCGTTAGCAAGATGGTTTCACTAAGCTGCTCGGGACATGTGGTGTTGTGCACCCGAGTGGTAAGAACTGATCACCCACTGCTGATGCTGGTCCCGTGTCGTTTTAGTTGTCGGGAGCACTCGTTCCCTCAAGAGATCCTTTGCTACCCCGCTAAACAGTGACAGGCCTACACTGATCGGTCCAATGGCGACAATCGCCACCCTCAATCATCAACGGCAGTCTCAAACGGCAGTCAATCTCTCGCAGTTAACTCCGGTCAACTCCGGTCAAGTGGGTTCTGACGGAAACCCTGAAATGAACTCACTGTTAGCTCTAGTTAACTTTACCACTGCCCTATCTAAACCCTGTCTGAGATTGAATGAGACTTACTTGTTATACTGCAATAGCGCAGCACAGGTGACTAGGCCACGTGACTATTTCTGTGACGGACGCGCAGGGACGTCTTGTATGTCTGAATGCTTCTCCGTGACTGCGGGAGGGCCCGCCTCGCGTCTCTCAAGGCGTTAACTTAGGCCTACGTGACATATTTTCCGCCTAACTAATAACTCCTTGGGACACCCGTAACATTATTCAGACTGATAAACGATCTATAATAATTTAAAATTCAATAATAGTCCCTTACTTCATGAATCGCATCATTATTAATTCGGTAAATTACATTTAATATCATCTAGGCCTAGTTCCACCATCTCTCTCTATGAGCAGGAAGCGCTCTCTTCCCTCCGGCGACCTTGAACGCTCAGTGTTGCCAATGGCGGGGCATTCGAAATTACTCTGAAATTTCTGAATATTACATATATATATATATATATATATATGCAAGTAAATCACTGTAGGTGCGAGTGATCTAGGTATATGCTGATAACCACAAGGAAAGAAGAAAACACGAAGTTCCCAAGCGCTTTCGTGTAATTCACATCTTCAGGGGTGAGTACAGACTAGAGAGAGAAATACAAACCAAGGTGTATATATACAGAGGAGGGTGAGACCAGGTCCACAATGGTCAGGTATTAGGTAATGACCCTACTAATCTTTAAATAGCACACAACGGTTGGTGGTCAGGTCAGATGGTCAGGTGACCCGGCCTTCTCACCTGGTTACAAATCTTCTTAATTACAAAATTGTCCAGCTTGTACATGCCGTTACTCAAATTCATGTTGAATGCTTCGGTATGTTTAATAAGACTAGATTCTATGATGTTCCTACTATCAATTGAATTACATGGTAATATTGAGGAGGCATTATCCCAGTCAATGCAATGCTTGTTATCCCTCAAATGAACAAACAGAGCATTGGATTCCTGGCCTGTCCTAACACTGAATTTGTGTTGTTTAATTCTAGTTGCAAGGTCTTTTTCTGTCTGGCCTAAGTAAAACATATTACATTCCTTGCAAGGAACTTTATAAATGCAACCAATTGTGTTGTTGGGGGGAGTTCTTGATTAACATTTGTTTAACAGTGCATGAGTTTTTAAATGCCACATTGACGTTCCAGGAGGGTGGACCTGGTCTCACCCTCTGTATATATACACCTTGGTTTGTATTTCTCTCTCTAGTCTGTACTCACCCCTGAAGATGTGAATTACACGAAAGCGCTAGGGAACTTCGTGTTTTCTTCTTTCCTTGTGGTTATCAGCATATATATATATATATATATATATATATATATATATATATATATATATATATATATATATATATATATATATATATATATATATATATATATATAATAAATAAAATTAATAAATATTGAAGTGATAACAGTAGTAACATTATGAGATGTTCTTATTCCCACCATGTTATTGTACTATTCCAGAGGATACTAAAGTTACATAATACTTCCTTGAGATAAATGCATAGTATATATTAGGTGCCTAAAAAGAGCTCAGGTTCTCAACTGGTTCAGCCATGTTAATTTTGTTATTATTATCCACTCTGTATCTGTGTTTTTCTGGCTACATAAACTGATTCAATTCAATTTAAAATTCACTGGTTAACAGCCAA